AAAAAAAAAAAAAAAAAAAAAAAGACCTTTCGACTCCCGACTCCCGAGCCTGCTGACCAGATAAAGACCCCTTGCAATCTTTCTTAAGGGAAGGCCACTGAGGAAGTGACACTTGAGAATAAAGACCAGAAGGAGGCCAGGCGCGGTGGCTCATGCCTGTAATCCCAGCACTTTGGGAGACCAAAGGGGATGGATCACCTGAGGTCAGGAGTTCCAGACCGCCTATGCAACATGGTGAAAACCGGTCTCTACTAAAAGTACAAAAATTAGCTGTGCATGGTGGCGCATGCCTGTAGTCCCACCTGCTCAGGAGGCTGAGGCAGGAGAATCACTCCAGCCTGGGTGACAAAGCAAGACTCCATCTCGAAGAAAAAATAAAATAAAATAAAGACCAGAAGGAAGTGAGGGAGGGGCTATGCCAGGATCTGGGGGACCTGCGTTACAGACCCAGTGCAGAAAAAGAAAAAAAAGAATTTCAGCAGATCCAGAGGGCTGGTCTGTTCAAGGAACCTGAGGGAGGCCAGTGTGGCTGGAACACAGGGGAAACAGGGAGAGTGTGGGGAGCCAGAACAGAAAGAGGACAAGTGCAGATCGCACAAGTCCTCCTGGGCTGCAAGGAGAGAGTTGGGCTTTGCTCTGAGTCAGGTGAGAGCCATGGAGGGTTCTGAGCAGAGGAGGGGCGTGCTCGGCCCAGGTGTTCACAGGCGCCCTCTGGTGGCGGAGTGAGGAACAGTCTTCGGAGGTGAGGGTGGACTCCGGGAGACCCAGGATGTGACTTCACTCATCCAGACACGCGCGGCGGTGTAGGTTGTGGAAGTGGAGAGACGCAGACGAACGCTGGGTGATGTTGAAGATGGAACTGACAGGTGTGGGCATGAAGGCTAGAAAGAAGTCAAGGACAACTCCAGGCTTTGGGATCTGCAGGAGTAGAAGGGAGAGATGGAGGAGCTACAGGGTAGGCAGGTTTTGTTGGGGGGTGACCAGATCTCTTTGGCCCTGGATAAGCTCAAGTGGCCATGAGACATCCACGTGGGGTCCTCAAGGGAGCAGCTGTATGTCTGAGTCCAGGGCTCAGGGGAGACTGCAGGGCAGAAGGGAGACATTTGAGCTTCCTTAGCACATGGGTGGCATTTAAAGCCATGTGACTGCCAGGCACAGTGGCTCATGCCTGTAATCCCAGGACTTTGGGAGGCTGAGGCAGGCAGATCACTTGAAGTCAGGTGTTCAAGACCAGAGTGGTCAACATGGTGAAACCCCATCTCTACTGAAAATACAAAAAATTGTCAGACGTGGTGGCAGATGCCTGTAATCCCAGCTACTTGAGAGGCTGAGGCAGGTGAATCACTTGAACCCGGGAGGCAGAGGTTGCAGTGAGCCAAGAATGTGCCACTGCACTCCAGCCTGGGTGACAGAGCAAGACTCCATCTCAAAAATAAAAATAAAAAAGCTGGCGGGGCACAGTGGCTCATGCCTGTAATCCCGGCATTTTGGGAGGCCAAGGCAGGCAGATCATGAAGTCAGGCGTTCGAGACCAGCCTGACCAACATGGAGAAATCCTGACTTTACTAAAAATACAAAAATTAGCCAGGCATGCTGGCATGAGCCTGTAATCTCACCCACTAAAGAGGCTGAGGCAAGAGAATTGCTTGAACCCAGGAGGCAGAGGTTGCAGTGAGCTGAGATTGTGCCATTGCACTCCAGCCTGAATGACACAGAGAGACTCTGTCTCAAAATATATATGTATGTAAATAAGTAAATAAATAAAAAAGCCACATGGCTGAATGAGATGTTGAGAGGGAATCCCTCATCTCAGGCTGGTGGAAAAAACTTGGGGCTGTGGGAGCACTACCCAGGGATTCATTTTCCTCCAGAGTGAGACCCATTTTTCTGCTGGGAAAAAAAAATCTTCAGCAGTTAAGAAACATTCTGAAGGTCAGATCGTGAGATTTTGGGCAGACTAAATACCCAAGCCTCCTGCTTTCCAGCTAGGGTTCTTGCCACTTCCCCAAGAACAGGCCTTGAGGAGGGAGGGCTGGTGGTTGGTTTGAGCCCCTAGGCCTGACATCCTCCCTCACCCTTCCCAGGTTCAGGAGCTGCAGGATTCCCTCTTGAGACTGGAACGTTTCCCACGTCTTTCCCACAGCCAAGCAGGTGGCTCAGGCAGTGGCTCTAGCAGCTCTGAGGCAGACAGGGAACCCTGGGAGACTCAGGTGAGTATGAGAAGTTCAAATCCATGGTCTTGATGTCCTTGATATCCTTAGCATTCAGGGGGATGAGACTCAAATCTTGGTCATGGGATCCAACAGCTTCTGGGGTTGGAAAATGCCTACAATCCCAGGCTCTTGGTGACAATTGGGGTCCATTACATCACCTCTTCTTGGCAGGACTCCTTCTCTCTTGCTCACCCCCTGCTTCAGCGCCTCCACAGCCATTCTAGCACCCAGATCCTTGGGCCTCTCCCCACTCAGCCCCTCAGTCCGGAGGTGCACATCATGGAAACCCACATGGAGCAACTCCGGGGGTAAGAGACTCAAATGCTGAGCTCATAAGGGCACAGGCACATTCTCCAGCTCAGTTATAAAACAAAGAGTCTGGAGCTGCAACAGGAGGGAGGGAAAGGGTGGAAATTGAGGCCTGACTACCTTAGAGGGCCTCTGACTTTCCCTCTTCCCCACCTGTGCGGACAGGAACATTGAGAAGCTCAAATGCTTTAACCGTCTGCTATCAGCTGTGCTCCAGGGATACAAGGGCCGTTGTGAGAGCCTCAGCATGCAGCTAGGTCAGCGGGAGGCTGAGGCCACAGCGTTGCAACTGGCCTTGCAGTACAGGTCAGTGCACCCTGCCAGTGATGTCACCAGCTGGGGAGGGAATGGGCTCTCTGAGGATGGTCCCAATCCACAGAGGGTGACAGGACCCTCACTGGAGAGCACCTTCCACCACTTCAGAAATTTATCTTGTTTTTGTTTTGGTTTGAGACAGAGTCTTGCTCTGTCACCCAGGCTGGAGTGCAGTGGCAAGATCTCAGCTCACTCCAACTTTTGCCTCCTGGGTTCAAGTGATTCTCATGTCTCAGCCTCCTGAGTAGCTGGGATTACAGGCGAGCACCACCATGCCTGCTAATTTTTGTGTTTTTAGTAGAGATGGGGTTTCACCATGTTGACCAGGCTGGTCTTGAACTCCTGACCTCATGATCCACCCACCTCAGCCTCCCAAAGTGTTGGGATTACTGGTGTGAGCCACCACGCCAAGCCCAGAAATTAATTTAAGGCAATTTTAGTTCAGGGGTTCTAAAGGAGTCTGCATGCTTCCAGAGGTGAGGGCAGTGGGGAGAAGAGAGGGGTTCAGGAGCAAGTGGGGACTGGCACCTATAGGGTGAGATGGAGCTGAGTGTTCTTTCTTTTTTTTTTTTGGAGGTGGAGTCTTGCTATGTCACCCAGGCTGGAGTGCAGTGGTGGGATCTTGGCTCGCTCCAACCTCTGCCTCCGGGTTCAAGTGATTCTAGTGCCTCAGCCTCCTGAGTAGCTGGAACTACAAGTGTGTACCACCATGCCTCGCTAATCTTTATATTTTTAGTAGAGACAGGGTTTCACCATGTTGGCCAGGCTGGTCTTGAACTCCTGACTTCAGGTGATCCTCCCGCTCTGGCCTCCCAAAGTGCTGGGACTACAGGCGAGGGCCACTGCTCCCAGCCGAGCTGAGTGTCCAAAAGTACTCAGAACCAGTGTCCTACAGTGAGCATTGTGAGGAGGCATACAGGGTCCTGCTTGCTCTGCGGGAGGCCGACTCAGGAGCAGGAGCCGAAGCCCCCATGGGTGACCTGCAGGAAGCTGAAAAGGAAGCATGGAGGCTGCTGGCACAAGAGGAGACCACCAGGGACGCAGGGGCACTGCAGAATCCACAGCCAAGGTACCCCGGGGAACCCTGGGAACTGGGCTGGGTGATGAGTGGGGTCTTGACGGGGGAATGGGGCTCCCAGAGTCCACCACGTTTGGGGTTTTGGGGTGGCTGAGTCCAGCAAGGTCGGTATGGAACACCTGTGGTTGACTGACATGACGTCCAGCTGCAGTTGGCCCGTTGCTACTTGGTGAGGTTGGCATGGTGGTTGACAGACACTGCAGTTGGCGTGAAGATGGATGATGATGCCTACTGGTTAGATCCGGGCAGAGTGGCTCATGCCCGTAATCCCAGCACTTCGGGAGGCCAAGGCAGGCAGATCGCTTGAGCTCAGGAGTTCAAGACCAGCCCTTGAAACATGGAGAAAGCTCTTCTCTACCAAAGTACAAATGAATTAGCCAGGTGTGATGGTGCGCCCGTGTAGTCCCAGCTACTTGGGAGGCTGAGGTGGGAGGATGGCTTGAGTCTGGGAGGTGGAGGCTGCAGTGAGCTGAGATTGCGCCACTGCAGTCCAACCTGGGAGACAGAGTGACACTCTCTTTTTTTTTTTTGAGATGGAGTTTCGCTCTTGTTACCCAGGCTGGAGTGCAGTGGTGCGATCCCAGCTCACTGCAACCTCTGCCTCCTGTTCAAGTGATTCTCCTGCCTCAGCCTCCTGAGTAGCTGGGATTATAGGTGACAGCCACCACGCCCGGCTAATTTTATATTTTCAGTAGAGACAGGGTTTCTCCATGTTGGTCAGGCCGGTCTTGAACTCCCAACCTCAGGTGATCCACCCACCGCAGCCTCCCAAAGTGCTGGGATTACAGGCATGAGCCACCGCGCTCAGTGAGACCCTGTCTTAAAAAAATAAAATAAGAACTGGCATGATGGTGCTTAGTAGGGTTGTCCTGGTCCTACTGCTCAGGGTTGACAGTCTAGCTGCTGGTGCCCGTTGAGTTGGTGGGATGGTGTCCAGCAAGGTGGCATGAGCAACGGTGCCTAGTGGGTTGTTGCAATGGCACCCACCATGTTTTCTGTCTTTTTTTTTGTTTGTTTTTGAGACCAAGTTTTGTTCTTGTTGCCCAGGCTGAAGTGCAGTGGCACAATCTCGGCTAACGGCAACCTCCACCTCCCGGGTTCAAGTGAGTCTCCTGCTTCAACCACCCAAGTAGCTGGGATTACAGGTGCCTGCCACCACGCCTGGCTGATTTTTGTATTTTTAGTAGAGACAGGGTTTCGCCATGTTGTCCAGGCTGGTCTCGAACTCCTGACACCACGCCTGGCTGATTTTTGTATTTTTAGTAGAGACAGGGTTTCGCCATGTTGTCCAGGCTGGTCTCGAACTCCTGACCTCAGGTGATCCACCCACCTTGGCCTCCCAAAGCGTTGAGATTACAGGCGTGAGCCACCGCGCCCGGCTGACCACGTTCTTTTTTGTTTGCTCGTTTCTTTTTAACATTTTGTTAGAGACAGGGTCTTGCTCTGTCACCCAGGCTGTAATACAGTGGCACCATCACAGCACACCGCAACTCAAACTCCTGGCCTCATGCCACCCTCCTGTTTTCAGCCCCTCAAGTAGCTGGGACTGCAGGTACATAACACCATGTCCAGCTATTTTTTAAAATTATTATTAACACACATCCTCACTGAAGACCAGCTAATTTTTTGTAAAGATGAATTCTCACTCTGTTGCCTAGGCTGGCCTCAAACTTCTGGCTTCAAGCAATCCTTCTGCCTCCGCCTCCCAAAGTGCTGGGGTTACAGGCATGCGTCATTGCACCTGGCCACATGTGGCCCTGATGGAAGGTGGTGCGGAGTGGGGTTTATATTATGGTGCCCACCATGTTGGTGTGACAGGGGCCACCACAGATGGTAGAGGCTCCATTGTGGCCAGTGAGATGGAAGATGATGGACCCTACCAGGGTTGGCGTGACGTTAGCCCACTTAAGATTGCCAGTGTTGACACAGGCACCTCTTCTGTTTTCTGTAGCCCTGAGGGCAGCAGTGTGGACAAGCCCACAGAGGAAGTGGCTTTCCAGCTCCGAAGCTATGCGCAGCGTCTCCAGGAGCGTTGTGCTCTAGTGAAGATTCTCTCGGAGCCTGGCCCCACCTTGGCACCCATCCCCACTCTGCCCCGTGCAGAAGTCATGGTGCAGGCCATTCTGGGGACCCAGCATGGCCCAGCTCTGCCCCGGCTGGAGAAGACACAAATTCAGCAGGACCTGATAGCCACAAGGGTACAAAGGGACTGTGGTCGCTGTGTCAGTCTTTCCTGGTGGGACAGAATCCCTCACTGAGGTCCTGCGGTTGGGGGGCCAAGGAGCAAAGGAGAATTCTGCTGGGCTGGGTGCAGGCATTGTGAGGGAGAATTGGAGGTGGGGTTTTGAAGGATGAATAGGAGTTTGTCTTCTGGGGTTCAGTTTCTCATTAGACTCCAAATCTGCTTCTCCAAACTGGCCTTCCAATGGAAAGAGATGGGAGTCAAAGAACAGAATCTTGGGTTTGGAGCTTGGCATGAAAAACTTGAGGTTCTGGAGTTGGAGAGACCTAGAAACTTTGACAGAACTGCTATTTGACCTATATAAGCTACTTGCCTCTAGAAAATGCCATTTCTCCAGCTGTAGTTTTTATAGGAGGAAGATATTTCTACCTCACAAGAACATGCGAAAGGTCCCAGCCTTTTGTTTGCTTTGTTTTTTTTTTTAGACGGAGTCTTGCTCTCACCTCGGCTGGAGTGCAGTGCTGCTATGTCGGCTCACTGCAGCCTCCGACGTGCCCCCACCCCACTGGGTTCAAGTGATTCTCCTGCCTCAGCCTCCTGGGTAGCTGGGAGTACAGGCTCGCACCACCTCACCCGGCTAATTTTTGTATATTCAGTGGAGATCGGGTTTCACCATGTTGGCCAGGCTGGTCTCGAACTCCTGACCTCAGGTGATCTGCCCCCCTCGGCCTCCCAAAGTGCTGGGATTACAGGTGTGAGCCACCATGCCCGGCCAAAGGCCACAGTTTTTGCCTGACTAGTCCTCAGTGGGTGCCTCTTGGGGCCTCAGTTTCCTTGCAGTTGACCCCAGAAGCATAAATTCTGTGTCCTCCCCTTGGTCCCGCAGGAGACCCTGGCGGACCTGATGCTTCGGCTGCAGCTGGTGCGGCGTGAGAAGCGGGGCCTAGAGCTTCGGGAGGCCGCCCTCCGAGCCCTGGGCCCGGCTCACGCGCTGCTGCTGGAGCAGCTGCGGTGGGAATGGGCAGAGCTCCGGGCTGGTGGGGCAAACAGTAGTGGCGGAGACAGCAGCGGAGGTGACAGCAGCGGGGGCGAGGAGGAGTGGCACCAGGTGAGCTGCCCCGCCTGGACCTGGTAGTAGCTTCTAATGGGAACATAGCCCTGGTCAATTGCAGTTGTTTTTTTGTGTGTTTGTTTGTTTGTTTGAGGCAGAGTCTCACTCTGTCGCCCAGGCTGGAATGCAGTGGCATGTTCTTGGCTCACCGCAACCTCTGCCTCCCAGGTTCAAGTGATTCTCCTGCCTCAGCCTGCTGAGTAGCTGTGACTACAGACACACGCCACGATGTCCAGCTAATGTTTT